TTAGAAGCCTCCAATTGAAATAGAATTAGTCATCTTTCTCTTTAAATTCAAAAGCATCACTGCCTACCACTCCGGGTGCAAAAAAAAATACAGTTTAGCTCTAGAATGGCAGAAAGGATTAGCCAAATTATTCAATAATCACAATCATTCACCACCTTTATTTTCAATCAAAGATACCACCAAATATCTTCTAAGTTTAATAACACATGCAGACAAAAATATTAATAAAAGTAGATAGAAAATCATGTAAAATGAACCCTACTTAAACATAGAGAGTAAATTTATGATCAGACAAACTCTACGTTCCACAACTGCAATTGATGGTTAAGACTGCAGAAACATACCTAGATGAGCAGGAAATAAGAATGCTAGTTCCTTTGTGCAACTATCGATGACGACGAGCAGACAAGTTGAGAACGATCAGAAAATTAATTTCTTTTCTTCTTCTTTTGTAGTTAACAATAGAATCCACCAACCAAATACTTCAAAACCAAAATGGCTTAGTTTGATGTAAAATGGTCGCGAAAACTACAATAGATGAAAAAAAAAAAGAGCATACCCATATTCAACACACTGAATCACATCTCTAGGTTTTAGGGTAATCTCCGGCCCACAATCTCCATAGATGTAATTGAGGTGCTCGCTTACTGGGTCCTTCATCAGCGATTGAGATTGCATCAGCTCCAAATCGACAAATTTTAAGAATTTTGGAAGAAAGTCCATTCCTTTTAACAAAACCTAACATATTTTTGGGATCAAAAGAGATAATTCTAAGGTTTTTGTTTCTCGAGTTTGGAGAAAATGGGGGAAAAGGTAGTGGGCCTTATTTTTTAATCAATTACTTAATTTTAACGAGGGGATATTATTAATTTTAAGAACCAGATATTATCCTTTAATTAAAAGTGAACTAAAAAAAAGCCTCTCACAACCGGAAATAAAATTAGTCGTTATAAGTACACTAATAACGACTAGATTTATTTCCTTTCGTTAAGAATTGGTCGCTAAAAGTCAAGTTTCTTGTAGTAATAAATGCACATAGTAGAGGAATAAAATTATGTTACAGAATAGTACAATAGCAGTAGGAAAAGTGTACAAAGCATTTTCTTTTCTATTTTTTTACATACAAAAACTTGTATAAATGTAGAATAAAAAAGATGAATACAACAGTGGAAAATTCTGCAAATCATTTTTTCAATTCTTACATGGTATCAGAGCAATAGCTTGATCCAAGAATTTGCATTCAAAAACCACAATCAACATCATGACTAGAGAAACTCCAATCAACACAAACACCACCATGAATCCCATCAACACAGGATTTGTGAATGGAACTATGTTGATGTCAATCACCCCTTTTACCCCATTCTTCATATGCTCCAGGGCAAACTTTTGTCAAGCTTCATTTGATGGAAAAGGCTTTCCAGGATGACGCAGATGTGTGTTCATAGCTCTTTCTGCTAAGAACAAATTGGGTTTTATCAATGGCACAATAACTCCACCAGATTTGAATGATGCAGAGTATCAGCGATGGAGTCGCTGTAATCACATGATCACATCTTGACTCCTCAATTCAGTCACTAAGGATATAGGGGACAGTGTCATATATTCCAAAACATCTCGAGACCTGTGGATGAGCCTTGAACACAGATTCAGGCAAACTAGTGGAGCAAAACTTTTCCACCTGCAAAAGGAAATCACATGTTTAGTTCAAGGTACTCTTGACATAGCTGGGTATTTTACTAGACTTAAACGATTGTGGGATGAACTAGATTCGTTAAATGCTGATATAGTATGCTCTTATGTATGTGTGTGTGATGGCCAAAGAAAACTAATTAAATCCTTGCAAGATCAGAAGCTTATGCAATTTTTAATGGGGTTAAATGAAGTATATTCACAGGCAAAAAGTAACATACTCATGGAAAATCCTCTCTGTACTCTTGATTATGCATATTCTCTCTTGTTACAAGATGAGAATCAAAGGGAAATGTTTGCTAATGCCCAGTTTACTAGTGAAACTGCCTCATTCATGGCAGGAAGGCAGGAAAGACCATCTCAAAGACTTGGAAAACAACCTCAAAAGAATGGTTTTCAATCTCAGAGATAGAAAAACCCTACACAGAGGTTTGGACAGGCAAATCGAGCTCAAAGGTCTGGGAATCAACCATACAAGAACAAAGACAGGAAGGTGAAATACAACCTAAATATAAGTTGCACTTACTGCTTTAAAACAAGTCATGAAGAAATAGACTGCTTCAGACTTATAGGATACCCAGATGACTTCCAATTCAGATATTCAAAGGAACATCAAGGAGGACCAAGAGGAAATGTAGCAGTAGCAGAAGAAATTTGTAAGAATGCAGAGAGCCAAGCATTGATAGTTGCATAGACAGAGAATTCAGTCAAAAGCAGATGCCACAAATGATGAACATGTTCAAGCAGTTTCAAATGGGAGAGGCAGGAGCTTCAGGATCAGAAATTAATGTCATTGTTGTGGCTGGTACTATTCTTAAATACTCAGATCATGTTTTAAAACTATTGATCATAATACTTGGATTATTGACAAAACGGCTTCTGAGCAATATGTGTTACAACTCTAATTCCTTTTTGAAACTCATTCCTCTTCCTGTTCCATTAACCAAAAGTTTGCCTAATTCTTTCAAAATCAATGTGACACACATAGGTAGTATATCCATTCAGCCTGCTTTAACTCTTAATAATGTTCTCTATGTTCCAGATTTCAAATATAATTTGTTATCCATTCACAAATTATGTTGCCAATTTCAACGTTCTGCTCATTTTTATTATGTTGGGTGTATGTTGCAGGCCCCTTTTATGAAGAGGGGACAAGCTTTTGGTGAAGTAAGGGAAGATCTTTACCTACTACAATAAGCAAGTTCTCAGGAATCTCTTAAACAGAATGTAGTTCATTTTTGAAAGGAAGCTACTTCTAGTCATGTTTCTAGTTCCTCTGTCCCTATGTCTTTTAATTTTGTTTCCAATGTAAGCCTTTGGCATTCTAGACTGGGACATTTGCCCTTCTTAGTAATGAAGAATTTTAATTTCATCAAAGTTCCTGCAAATTCTGATTTCATTTGTGATGTGTGTCCACAAGCTAGGCAAACTAGACTCCTTTTTCCCACTAGTAACATTAAATCAAAAGGAATTTTTGAATTACTTCACATCGACACTTGGGGCCCTTACAAATGTGTTACTTACAATAGATGCAAGTATTTCCTTACTATAGTAGATGACTATAGTAGGGGTACTTGGACATTCCTTCTAACCACCAAATGTAATGTTTTTTCTATTTTTAAAAGTTTTCTATGCATGGTGGAGAGGCAGTTTAATGTGAAAGTGAAGTGTATTAGGTCAAACAATGTGTTTGATTTGGGGAAAGGATCAGAACAATTAGTTTTTCTCAATAAAGAAGACATTTTACATCAAACATCTTATGTTGCAACCCCTCAATAAAATGACATTGTTGAGAGGAAGCATCGACATTTACTGGAAATTGTAAGGGGACTCATGTTCCAGTCAAAGGTACCTACTCATTTCTGGGGTGAATGTATCTTTGACTGCTACACATTTGATCAATGTATTACCCTCAAAAGTCCTTAGAGGTAAGTCTCTTTTTGAGATTTTATTTGGAGAAAAGCCTCAATATGACAGTCTTAGAAGTTTTGGTTGCCTATGTTATGCTTCTACTTTGGCCCAACACAGGGGAAAATTTGAGCCTAGAGCTACTGCTTGTGTCTTCATGGGTTATCCTCAAACTCAAAAGGGTTACAAATTGATGGAATAGAGTACAAAGAAGATGTTTGTTTCTAGAGATGTCACTTTTCATGAGCATTGTTTTCCCTTTGCAAATCAACCTACTCATTCCCCACTCATTTTCCCAGATCCACCAAATCATATAGACTTTCCTAAACCAGACATCATTTCACCTTACCTCACAAATCCTTTACAACATCCACCTCATACAGATCCCACTCCTCCCTGTCCAATCAGCTCTCCCCAATTTCATATTTCTGATCTTCATCCCACCATCACAACACCTACGGTTAATCCCATTAGAAAATCAGGAAGGGTGATCATTAAGTCTAGTTGCTTACAAGATTTTGTTTGTAATAGTATTATTCTCACTGATTTCACAGGAGAGTATCTTGTTCCACCTGTTAATGTCAGTGCTTATTCTTTTAATGCTCTTTCTCTTCCTAATCAACAATTTCTTACATTAATTTGTGAGTTGTCTGAACCTACAAGCTACAAACAAGTCTGCAATCACCCAGACCGGAGAAGAGCCATGGATGCTGAATTACAAGCCCTCAAACAGAATCATACTTGAGAGTTGGTGAATTTACCTGTTGGTAAGAAACCCCTTCCATGTAAATGGGTTTATATGGTCAAACATAACTCTGATGGTAGTGTGGAACAATTGAAGGCTAGATTGGTGGTAAGGGGGGACATCCAAAGAAAGAGATTGATTTTACAGAGACGTTCTCACCTGTGATCAAACTGACTACAATCAGATGTCTATTGACAGTAGCTGTAAAGAGAGGATGGCATGTTTCTTAACTTGATGTAAACAATGCCTTCCTGCATGGAAATTTGCAGGAAGAAGTTTACATGAAGTTTCCCCAGGGGTTGAGCCAAACAAATCTAATCAATTCTGTTTATTGAGAAAATCTCTCTATGGTCTGAAACAATCCTCAAGGCAATGGTATGCCAAACTTGCTGGAGCTTTACAATTCAAAGGCTATTTTAGTTCTTTGAATGATTATTCATTGTTTTATAAACGAACAAGTGATCTAATTTCAATTATAGTTGTCTATGTGGATGATATTCTTTTGATAGGAAGTGATGTTTCCAAAATTTCAACTATCACTCAGTTTCTCAATTCAGAATTCAAAGTCAAGAATCTAGGCAACATTAACTACTTCCTTGGTATGGAAATTCTGCGAGAAAAGAAAGGATTTTTAATTACTCAAAGGAAGTTTACCATGGACCTGTTGCAAGAATTTGACTCGTCTGGTCCTGCAGTAGAATCTCCCCTGAATCCTTCTTGCAAGTTACACAACAATGACTCTCCATTATTGGACAATCCCACTTTATACAAACACCTAGTTGGAAAATTAAACTACCTCACGCATACTCGACCAAACTTATCTTTTTCAGTTCTGATCCTAAGTCAGTTTATGCAAAGTCCCTGGCTTGATCATTACACTGCTGCACTGCGAGTTTTGCAGTACCTTCGTGTAGATCCAGCACAACGTATCCTCCTCTATGTCGATCTTTCTTTTGATTTATTGGCTTTTTGTGATGCAGATTGGGCATCTTGTAAGGACACAAGAAGATCTGTAAGTGGATTTTACATCACTCTAGGAGAAGCTCTTATTTCTTGGAAATCAAAGAAACAAACATTTGTTTCTCTATCTTCCGGTAAAGCTGATTACAGATCAATGCGTAGGGTGACTGTTGACACCCAATTTTAACTCTCCACAATATAGATTAATCATCGAGCTTCTTCAATTTCAAACGATTTAAAACAATTAGTTTTATAAAAAATCAAAAATAAATAAATAAATATAGTTTGCAAGTTATTTTAAATAGTTTCGCCTTTTTTTTTTGTAATTTTTAAATAATATATATATTTTATATAATTAATGTACTTTATGAATATTTGAAAATCATCTCAAAAAGATTTTATATCTTAATATTTTATTAGTGATGGTTATAATTTTGAATTAAAGAGTTTTACGAAACTAAAAATACTTTCAAGTTATTTTTAGAGTAATTCTGTCATTTCTAATGAATTTAATAATTTTAAATAATAAATATGTATATTTTTACAATCACGTTATTTTATAAATGTTTGAAAGTCATCACAAAGATTTCACATTTTTAGTTAAATATTTTATTAATTTACTTTAAGTTATAGTTATAATTTATAGTTAATTTGTTTGTAATTAAATTAATTATTTTATAATAGAGTTAGTTATTATATTTCATTAAGATTAAGAAGCTCATTAATTAATTAATATTAATTCGTCTTATTCAAATTTTAATCGAATTTGCTAATTAAATTCAATTTGACTAAGTTTCGAACTTCGTGCTCTTGCCTTACCTTAAACCCATTTGGAGACCAAGTATTTTGGGCCTTTTCACTCATCAAATCAGCAGCCCAGTCTCAAACAAAAGACCCAGTCCATTCCCTATACAATACACACTAAATCAGCAATACCAAAAGCCCTTCTCCATTTTTTGCTTTCCAATTCAACCGACCCAATATCCCCCTTCCAGCCCAACTACGTCGACCCAACCCAATTTTCCCTTAATTCTCAACCAACCAACACAGTAGCGTAATACACATATCAACCCGACCCCAGTACGCGTCTTCTTCTTCTTTCAAATGCAAACCTAGAAATCCAGTGAAAAATCTTAACTACCCTGCAGAACCCATAACCCTAGTAGCCTAATCGATCACTTCACGTCCCCTTTTCGCCCTTTTCACGAAGGTCGCAAGCCTGCACAACAGCCCTCGTTGTTGCTTCAAAAAGGGAACAAAAAGTTTAAATTTTTGTTTGAAATCCAACAAATTTCCCCCTAAATTGCCGCAACTTCTCCTATAAATAATCATTTACATTCAAGTGATTGAAAGATAGAAAGTTTGGAAATTGGATTTTAACATGTTTTAGAATTCGATTATTTGGCGATAGACATTTAAGAATTTTATATCTAGCTTTCTGATTCTAAGTTCCGAGAAGATAGACGCTCATATTTTCCTAGCTTACTGTTTGTATTTAGATTTCATAATAGAAGAGTCTCCGCTCTCAAGCTCGTTATCGTCCAGTCGCTGCTTCGAGAGAGGTAAAAACTCTTTTCTAAATCTCGTTTTGGATTTAAATAATGGTTAGTTAACTGGAAAATTTAGACTTGTTTCAATCGCATCTCTTATTTGTTGCATTGTTATATATATATGATTGCGACTTATTAAATTTCAATATGTTTAATTGAATCTATTTACTAAGTGTTATTTTGGTTTTAGGCTCTTTCACATTCTACTTGTTCATGTAGCATATACCTATCTTCCTCCCTTCTCACTTCATCATCACATTAATATTTGAAGTATAATCATAGGTTGAAGTGCTATCCATGATGTTATATTAATAGCTCGTCATAATAAGTGTTTATTTCTTTATTTATCGAAACCATTTTAAGTAACCATTGGTCAAAATCTGGAAATTTATTCAAACATTGAGTTGTTCTTCCTTTAATTAACCGTTTTCATGTCAATATACTTCTTTGAAATATGTCATTTGATGTGAATATAATTTCATATTGGCTTGAGCTGAACAGCGCGTTCTTAGAATAATTTCTTCACGCATCATTTGATCTCACGTAAGCTTCCGTCGGCTCGAGTTCGTCATATTTATGTTAAAATAAAATTAAAGAATCAGTTTCTATGTTTCTTTTAGTTTATAAAATCTTCATCATGATTGGTTTTACTTGTTGTTTGATGTATAGCAGATTGCTTCATTAACACACCCTCTTTATACTTCAAATTGTATATTGAAGGTTAATTAGTTGTTAATAATGAGATGATCTACTCCTATGATGTCATGTTTATTTCTTTGCAGCTTGCATCATCATATATATAAATGCATTTGTATGTCTCTATCTAGAACTTTAATAGCTTAGTGTTAAGTTTTTTTTTCTATTTTCTTAGCTTTTGTTTCATTTTCTCCTTCTTTAGTCTGCTTGTCATTGTTAAAGTTTTAGGTGTTTGTTTTGTCGATATATATATATAGTTAGTTAGTTCATTTTTATCTTCTTAAAGTCATCTGTCATTTAGAACAATGACTTTGGTTACCCTTGGAATTTTGAGATACAAGTTATTCTCATTTCAATTAAAATCATGTCTCATTTGTTTTCGTTATTTCAAATACTAATTTTGTTCCCTTTTTCATTTCTGGTATGAACCTCCTTACGAGTCTATGGTGGACTTATCTTCCTCGAATTTCCAAGTTGAGCCATAAAGACTCGATTTTTGCTTTCCCTCTCTCCCGAGTCATTCCCCTATATATTCGAGAGTTGTTACAGGTTCCAAATCTCCAGCATACTGCTGGAAATTAGTTCAAAAGCCTAAGAAATGTGTTGTATACATTAATGTATACAGCAGTATACACTCATTGTTAGTGAATTACAGGTCAAAAAATGCGAAAATACAGAGACAAGGTAGGATACAGGTGTTCGGAAGCAGGAGATACATGGAAGGTGCTGATATACATGCCGATATACACTGATATACAACAAATGTATACAAAAATGGGTTTAGAATTAAACCCCCCAAAAATCCAGCGAATTTGGCCCAAAAGGAGGCTCAAATTTAATTTCTCCCTTACTCTTTAATTATTTAATTGTGATCATTTATTGTTTGTTATTTAACTCTAACTTTATAATTCATAATTAACATAATTAGATTCCCCAAAAGATGAGTTATTTTTTGTTATGTTGGTTTACTTTTAATACCTTTTTTTTTGTGTTCATTTATTTTACTAATAAGATGTTCTATCATTAATTGAATTAAAACTCTTTGTTTTTAAAAAGAAGCGTTATTTAATGTTTTTCACTTAACACACTTTTAGTTCGTTTAAAATTGTTTCAAGTTAAGGTTTCTCCCAAATAAACTTTAAAAAGCCTTTTAAATTAATTAAAATAAAATACTTACTTAGTCATTTTCTCAAAAAGGGTTAGTCAATTAATTTAAAATGATGTTCATGCTTTAATTTATTAAATTGGTTTTAAATTGTCATTTCAAAATAATTCTAATTAATCTAGTTTTATTAGTATTCTAATCACTTGTATTTCGAGTCAAAAGTTTCATTTTTGAGTCCCTTTCTCTAAAAAGTAAAATAAAAATAAAAAATGTGTCATTTATTTAATTATTTTCTCAAAGTTAATCAAATATTATAAGTTTATTATTTTAAATCATTATTTTCCTAAAAATAGTCAAATATATTTTAGTTAAGTCGCAGGTCAACCGCATATTAGCGGACACTTCAAATGCTTAAACTCTTCTCAAAGTGTAAATCGAACCCCGAATCCTTTTTGGTATTTTCAAATGATTTTTTCTATTTAAATCTTTGAAAATAATTAGTTTTCTTAATTTCTTTAAAAAATTAAGTGGCGACTCTTTTCTAAGTATTTTTCTCAAATTGTTTTATACTTATAACATTTCAAAAAGTGATTTTTTCTAAGGTTAGTAAAATTACGGTATAACAGAAATGACGACTCTACTGGGGAATTAATTAGGTTCTAATCATATTGACTTAACTCTCTTTGACTATTTGTTAATATTTATTGAATTGTTTTGCCTCATATGTGTCTTATTTGCTTAAATTGTGATATCAACTGTCATTGCATGCATATCATTTATTCCGTCAAATGACATCATTTTTTCTTGATTTCACTTAAAGAACGATTATGCGGGCCACAGTCGTTCGTTAACCAATTGTTCTTGGGGTACCCTGGTGAATGTAGTTGGCCACTGGATGGTCAACGGTTGCTAACTGCTCCAGCCCAAGTTGTCCACTTCCAATAAATCTCACTCTTAGTCAACTAGCGTAGAGCAAAATCAAATCCCAAAATTAGCGCATTTGAACTAAGTTGACTCAATACCCAAGGCGTGTTTGGGCCCATTAGAAGTCCACCTCGTGTCTATTTGGCTCATTGGTCAATAAAAGACAATCATATTTATGTGTTTATATTTGAATGATGTATACATCATTTGACAAAATATTGTCTCTTGGGGTTGGGAATTTAACAGTTTGTTCTAGTCAAAGAAGGATCAAATTACCATTGCATTTGAAGATGTTGTCTTTCAGAGATGGCAAGAAGCTCAAGAACGGAGAACCTTTCGTGGAATTATAGTTTAGGATTGTATCCCTGCGTGAGACTGATTATTTGTATCATTTTCCCCTATTATGTATCCCCATTAAATTTGTTTGCAAAGTTTGTATAAATTTTAATTTTATGAGGCAATGGAATGTTTCAAATGACGTCATACATCCTTCAATTTGATAGGCCCACTTTTGGCATAAAAAGGTGACAAGTTTAGGGCGCAATATAAATTGTTTGTGTGTTGCTGATATAATTGTTTT